ACTATGCAGCCCAGCTGGCCCCAAACTCAAGCGATCCCCCTGCCTCAGCCTCCCGAGTGCTGGGATTAAGGTGTGCTCCACCTGCCCGGCCAGAGGCTGGTTTTGGGGGAGGTGACAGAGAACACCAGGGACCTGGCCCAGCCCCTGGGACCAAGGTCTGTGTTTGTCCCCATCTGGATCTGAGCTCCCCACTTTCTCCACTGCCTCTAGACAGGCACTGCTTCCAGAGCGCCTGCCTCGCCTGCAGCCCAAGGAGCCGGAGCCATCGGGGCCCCATCCCGCCCTGTGTCCCCGCTCAGAAAGAGGCAGTGGGGTTAGCAGGCCCACGCTAAGCCCATGTCCTCGGGGCAGGCCGGGCAGCCGGCTCCCGGCTTACATAAGTGGGGCCCGGAAGCCGAGCTTGTTTTTGCTGGCAAGAGCAGCACTGTGCTGCAAGAGGATTGAGAAATGTGTCTCTGCCTGCGTGTTTCCCTCTGGTCACTGGCATTTGCGACACGCGTGAAGAGGGGAAAAAGTAGAACAACTGAGGAGCTACTGGGGCTTCGGCACCCAAGTTCAGGTCCTAGCGGGGAAGAACCCACTTCCAGAGGCAACCCAGAAGTCAGCTGGGCTGTGCAGGCAGCGGGGCCTGGGCTGTGGGCTTGCTGGAGGGCTGAGAATTACCCTCCCCTGGGAGGAGCTGGCACAGCCCCTCCCCAGTCACCGGCGGTGAGACAAGAAGTCATGGAGTAGGAGACTCAGGACAGGGCTGCGGCGAGGGCTCAGGGGGCCGGGCAGCTGCTCAAGGGCAGACGCCAAGTTCTTTCGGCCCGGAGGCCACCTCGCCCAGCTCCAGGCCCTGCTCCCTGCGTCACTCCGCTTTAGCCTCTCTTCCTGCGGGGTCCTGGCAGACCCCAGGAAGCAGGGGACAGGGACGGGCGTGGAGGCGAGCCCCGGGGTGCAGAGGGCAGCGGGGCCACACAAGGCAGCTGCAGACAGGGGCGCCTGCACCTGAGGGGCTCTCTGGGCTGCTTGACTGGAGAAATCCACCCTCTCCCTGTGCTCCGAGCCCCTTTGCCCTAACCTGGACAGACCCCAGGGACCCAGCATGGTCACGGTAAGCATTCAAGAACGGGGCCGGGGATGTAGCTCCGTGGCACGGTGCCTGCCTCGCAAGCGCAAGGTCCTGAGTGCGATCCCCGGTACTGAAAAAAAAGAATTCAGGAATGTTTCACGTGGTGGAGAGCAGCGGCGGAGGCCCCCAGCTCGGGGCCAGTGCTGGCAGCACCAGCCGTCCGCCAGGCACTGGCCTCCTCCACCGTTCCCTGCCGTTATCACCTGGCTTCACCTCTGCAGAACTCCGTGGGGAGCTGGCAGCTGCCCTTGTTTAGGCCACTCTGAAACAAATGTCCCTGACCTGCAGAGAGGGCCGACAAGAGGGATACATTGTTGAAAAGGTGGCTGGGCGTGGTGGCCCAACCTGTAACCGCAGCACTCCACTCGGGAGGCTGACGCAGGAGGGTTCTGTGAGCTCAAGGCCAGCCTGGGCCACACAGTGAGACCGTGTCTCCACAAAAGAAAATCATCATAAAAGGAAGGGGCATCTGGAGATCCTGAGTCTTCTTGATTCCCACCCAGGGCTGTAGGGGACAGGGGAAGGGGACGTTACCAGAACCTCTGCAGTGAGTCCTGGTCTCCTGCGAGCCACGGCAGCACACGGCGAATGACAGGAAAGGTAGAAAAATGAGACCGAGAAGAAGCTGAGCTTTGGGTCTGATCAGTGCTGCTCTGGGCAGCAAAGACAAAAGCCCCCAGCTTACCACACCTTTTATTCAGTACATCGGGAGAAACAAATGTAACAAATGACTTGCAGAGAGTTCAATAGTTCACATTGGGATAAACAAGGTGTAACGGAAGGCTTGCAGAGAGTTCAGTACATCTCCGGCAAACAAGATGTTAACAGTCCAAGAACAATGAGGAACTGAGCAGGTGTTTGTTCTCCCAGGATGTTTCTTGTCCTGGAGAATCACAGCATCACTGGATCCCTGAAGTCTCAGTTGTGACCGGAGGCCAAACTGGAGTTATTCTGTAGCTGGGCTGTAGGCAAGAGAACTAGGCTGACCAAATGATTTTTCCCTAGAGTTATGTAGCATTGCTCCCAACACAGGGCGATGCCAGGGGCAAGGAGGTGGGGCCTTTCTCCTAGTGGCCTGGGGAGAGAGCAGGCTGGAGAGGGGAAGGCTTGTCCCTGGGACTGAGAGCAGCAGAGGAGGCGTCACAGCCCCAGGGCGGGGTCCCCAGGGCACCCCCACCCCAGACGCACTTGAGTCCGCCCTGGGGCTTTGGGGTTCAGGGACACTGACTGATCGGGAGGGGCCCAGCCACCCTGCGCCTGGGCTCAGGTGATTAATCAGGGCACCTCTTAAGGGAGTAGCCCTGCGTCAGGAGGTGCACAATTGTCCTGTGGGCCTGGACGCGTCACCACTGCTGCCCGGGCCCTGCCACCTGGATGGAGGGGCCAGGCTGACTGCAGGCCCCAGCCGCCCACGCCTGCCCTCTGGCACCTGTCACCCAAATTGCTGGCGCAGGAAGCTTGGCTTTGTACCTTGGACCATGTCCGGCTTGAGACATGTTTTGTTTTGAGACAGGTCTCACTGAGTGGCCCAGGCTGGCCTCAGACTCTCTGTGAACCTCCTGCCTCAGCCTCCCTAGTGCTGGGATTACATGTGCTTGCCACAGACTTAAATATACTTTCTTTTTTCAATTTCCATCATAAGCATAATACAATTGACCTGCAGAAAACTTAAAAATTACAGGCAAGCTGTGGAAAGCGCCGTGGCTTGCATCTGTGGTCCCAGTTACTTGGGAGCTGAGTCAGGGGACCAGTAGTTCAGGACCAGCCTGGGCAACATAAGGAGGTGGCTGGTCTCGAGGAAGAGGAAGGGAAGAACAGAGATCAGCTGCAGCCCCACCTGAGAGGCGCACAGGGCCTTGGGGGCAGCCCTGTGCCCACTGCCTCCTCTCGGGCCCCCCTGGCTTGAGCTGATTTCTCAAGGTCTCTCTCTGAGATTTGTGATGCTTCTACTTCCGGTGCTTTTGAAGTTAAGGCAGCATTGTTTACCGGTTCCAGAAGAAATGTTTTGAAGTAGGCCATGAGGGCTGATGCTTGCCAATGGGTGGTGTGTAATTAATCACTCCCTACTAGAAAAAAAAATCAGTGACTCAGTTTGAAAGATTGGAGAACCATTGCTCACATTCCTCAGCAGAGGAAGTGGCCATTAGGCTGCTCCCTGGAGCCCTGCTTCTATGGAAGAGGAAAGTCTCCTCCTTGGGGTCTCTGGGGTGCCCCATAAGCTGGCCATTGTCCGAGAGGGCAGTGCAAACAGGCCTGCTACTGTCCCTCGGGCACGGCGTGCTCGGGCTTGCATCCAGCTGGCAGTGTCCCCGGGCAAAGGCAGGAGAGGACGGAGCTCCCTGGGGCTACAGACCCTCCCTACTCCTCCAGAGTCACCTGTGAACCTTGGCTTCTCCGGCCCAGGGCAGGGCCCTGTGGCCACTGTGTGCCCTGGACTGATGTCTGGGAGACCCTGTCCTGGCCGCCTCTTCGGTGCCCGTGATTAACCGAGCGCACATTCCACACCTCCTTCACTGTCTGGCCTCTGGGCAGGGTGGGGTGGACACCTGGTGGAAAGATCACTCAATGGCCGGGACACTTGCGAGAATGTTTCGTAGGCGACTTTGTCATGTCACAGGTACAGAAACTAGATGGCACCATCAGTTCCTGGTGTGGCCTCCTGGTTCCATGAAGAGATAAGAAACTGGGGCCGGCACAATATGGCAGGATTTGTCAGGGAAGGAACAGGGTCTCTGCTGAGTTGCCCAGGCTGACCTTGAACTTGTGGTCCTCCTGCCTCAGCCTCCTGAGTAGCTGGGACTATAGGCTTGTGCCACCGCACACAGCTAAATTTTTTTTCCATAAGTAGGAGTACACTTTCAGGTACATATATGTGGGGTTTTGGGGGTGTTTTTTTTGGTACCAAGGATCGAACTTGGGACCTTGCACTTGCAAGGCAGGTGGCGGCACCACTGAACTACATCCTGGCCCTATGTGGTTTTTATCATTATTAAACACCTTGCACTGCGCATGTGTTTTCTCCCTCCTGCCTGCCCTTTAGCTTTTACTCTTTGGGCAGTGTCTCCAGTCTCTAAAGTTTGTCATCTGTGCATGAACCAGACGTCTGTGCTAGGCTGGTGCTTACAGCTGATGTAGCGATAGAAGGATTGGAGGTCATCTACACTCAACCCCCACAGACAAGCAGGACGGGCTGGGTGGGCAGCTGCTGCGTCTGTCAGATGTTCTGGGACTCACACGTCAGATGGGGTTCAGTTCTGCAGCAGAGGGACACATGCTGAGACCAGCACTGCACTCTTTTGGAGGCTCCAGGGCAAGTGCACCCCAAGTCAGTAGCCACACTCTTTGATGTGGCAAAGCCCTGCGAGTCACAGTGGAATATTAGAGAGCATTGAAAATGGGTGAACTACAGCTGCACGTAAATGAACTGTAGAAACATACCAACGAGGGCTGGGGATTTAGCTCAGTGGTTCCGCTGCCTGCCTTGCAAGCGCCAGGACCTGAGTTCGATCCCAGGTATCAAAAAAAAAAAAGAAACATACCAATGAAAAACCCATGCCCCCGAAAGACTACATACAAACCATTTACATCAAGCAAAGTTAAGACAAATGTAGGGACCCATGGTTAGTAAACTTATTTTTTTGTTTGTTTGTTTGTTTTTGGTACTTGGGATCGAACTTAGGACTTCTGCTTGGGAGGCAGACGGTGGAACCACTGAGCTAAATCCCTGGCCCAAACCCAGGGGTTTCTGAACTACTTCTCCAGCCCTTTTAAATTTTTCTTTTTTTCGGGGCCAGGGATTTAGCTCAGTGGTTCCGCCGCCTGCCTTGCAAACAGAAGGATCTGAGTTCGATCCCTGGTACCAAAAAAAAATTTTCTTTTTTTCAAGACAAGGGCTCACCAAGTGGCCCAGGCTAGCCTTGAATTTGCAACCTCCTCCCTCAGCCTCCACAGTAGCTGGAATTACAGACGTCTTCCACCGTGCCTGGCTGTGACGGTGCTGGTTTTTAGGCTGGGGGGTCCTGGGTGTTCTGTGGGACATAATTCTTCCGCACGTGGCATCCTGATGCACAGGTGTCCGATACCATGCAAAACGTGAGAAACGGTGCAGTGCTAGAAACGCAGAGTCCAAGTTCCCGCGTGAACACCACTGTAGCAGCGGCTTCTTGCGACTCCTCGGAGCCCTCCGGGGACGGGAGCCCCCGCTCTGCCCCAGTGGGCGGGAAGCGGCTCCACTGCCCCACAGCACGTGCGCAGCGGCCGCGTTAGAGCTTCTGCACGGGCCGGGCTCCCGACGCCACGTTGTGTTCCTTGCTCCTGCGGCTGGCGAGGGCCGGCTGAATGCGGACAGGAGGGGCCGGGAGCCTCTGGACTTGGCTGGTGCTCGGCAACCACGCGCAGGGCTCTGGTGGGGAAGAGGGGAAACCTGCAGGCCCGCAGTTGCCAGGGCGGAGAGGCGGCCAAGCCGCAGTCCTGCAGGGTCGCCGCTGCTCGTGATCGGTGCGTTGGGTTCGGGACCCAGGGCGCTTGCGTGAACTGGCCGTGTTCCCTGCCCCATCCTTCACTGGCGATGGGCTAATAAATTAGTCCAGGGTAGCTGGGCTGTCGTTAGAGTCTGTGAATCTGTAACCTGTACTTACACCCGTACTAAACATATATTTATTCCTTTCATCTTTCATCTCCTTTCCTTGAGCACACAGAGTCTGTTTTCAGAGCGATGAGGACTGCGTTGCTCTCAGTTTTACTCTCCAAGTTGGTCCTGTGGAGTGGCGGATGCCCAGGTGCAGGTGCTGCGGCCGAGCAGCTCGCAGCCTGATTCCTTCGCAGGTGTGCGGCTGTCTTACTGGTGACCTCGCAAGGCTCCTGCTGCTTCTGTACCTCGGCTGCGGTCTGGAAAACGGGTCCATAAAGTCCCGTGGTGCCGAGGCTTCCTGAGTGCTTGTGGACGCTGGACGCCCGGCACTCATTCCTGGGTCCGTTTACTTGTTCGCTCACACGCTCTGCGCTTGTCCGCCGCTCAGGGCTTCCCTGTCACGCGCCAGGCCGCTGCAGGCCCCTGACGGACGGGGAGGCAGCCCGGAGCGGAGCCTCAGCCAGCTGGGGCCCAGGGAGGCCTGGGGGAGGGCTGACAGCCGCAGTAGGGCCGAGGTGGGGCGTGGGGAGAGGCCGCCTTGGCGGGCGGGCGCGGGAGGCCCTGGGCCGGCTCGCGGACTCCCTCCCTCGGCAGTCGCAGACCCCGACCCGGAGGCTCCCGAAGGCGCTGCCCCAGCCCGGGCAGAGCGGCCGTGCTGGGCTGTGCGGCCGGCAGAGGGGTGCGGGACTGAGGACTCTGCCTCCCCGGTCTCGGTCAGCAGCCCGGCCCTCAGGCTGCAAGGGACTTTAGTGCCGCCCCCCTCCCTCAGCCCTGATGCGAAGAGAGGTCCAGACCAGCCTGCCGGGGGCCAACGTCTCCCTGCCCTGCCCTGCGGCGGACCTGAGGGAAGACAACTCTGTCTACTGGGTGGTCTCCGACGCGCACGCGAGGCTGGCCGGCGTGGGACGCAGGCTGCTGCTGACGTCGGTACAGCCCAGTGACTCTGGCAACTACTCGTGCTACGCGGACGGACGCCTGGCCGGGACGGTGCGTCTGCTGGTGGAAGGTGAGATGCCCAGGGCGGGGGCCAGTGGGGTCTGGGGCCTTCCTGCCCCGCGGAGAGTGCTGCTCTGGCCTTGTGGGGCTCTGGGGCCAGGCAGAGGTGCGAATCCTGTTCTTTCACATCAGCAAAAATTCCCTGCCTCTCAGGTTCCTCCAGCGAAATAAAGTTGATTTTCTCACCTAAGAGCTTGGCAAAGTGGTGTGTGTGCGCGCATGTGTGTGTGCGCGCGTGCGCGTGTGACACTGGGGACTACCCAGGGCTTTGGCACTGAGCCACACCCCAGCCTTGTTTTAGTGTGTGTTTTGAGACAGGGTCTCAATAAGTTGCCCAGGCTGGGCTTGAACCTGTGACTCTCCTCCAGCCTCCCCGTGCAGGGATCACAGGTGTGCATCCCCACAGCCTGCTGGGCAGTGTCGTTGTTATTGTGTTCGCATCAGTCACTTTCATGGGTGAGGAAGCTGGAGTGCCCAAAGCCCCCAGTCTGGTCGGCGACTCCAGGGTCTTCCCTCCTGGGCCGCCATCTCCTCTGCAGACAGAGGCCTGACGGGTGCTGCCCCTCCCTCTGGGCTACGCTCCCAGGCCAGGCCTGAGTGGGGAGAGTCTGGCCGGCAGTTCCTGGGGCAGGCTCTGCCCTGGGGAGGCTGCGGGCCCTCAGCCTGTGCCTGTGCTTCCAGCCCCCCCGGAGCAGCCGCAGCTCTCCTGCTGGCGCAGGAGCCTCCTGGGCAGTGTTGTCTGCGAGTGGAGCCCTCGGAATGCCCCATCCCTGACGACCAAGGCGGAGCTGTGGGTGAGGAAGCTGTAAGTGGCCGGGGCGGGCCCGGTTTCCGCCCCTCCGTCCTCCTGGAGCTCCCCGGGGCTGTGGCAGGTTCCCAGAGGGCCTGGTAGCTGGACCGGCGGGGTCCACTGTTTCCTGGGCTGGAGGGAAGGGGAGAGGGCTCTGCTCCCGCATGTCACAGTGCTGGGCAAGGCAGGGGCTGTGTCTTCCTCACGGGATACACAGGTACCAAACAGGTTCAACACCCAGATTAATTTAAGGTCACTAGCTAGTAAGTGGCTCGCTGGGACTCCAAGTCCAGTTGCCCCATTCCCTGTAAAGTCTAAAGGTTTTGAGTGTTGCCCTGAAGGAACTGCAAACGGCCCCAGGAGGGGAAGCCGGCCTACCATCGTGCTTTTTCCATCACAAAGGCAGGTGGCCAGAGATGGTAGGAGGGGGAGCTGCAGCCCAGCGAGGGGCTGGAGTCAGGAGGTCTGGGGACCTGGGAGGGGACCGCCAGAGGGAGAGGAAGTGGACAGTGCTTGAGCAGAGCAAAGCCACCTCAGCTTGGTTTTGGTGGTACTGGGGCCTAAATGGAGAACATTCTCACAGAGCGGTGTCCCTAGCCTCTTTTTATTTTGAGACAGAGTCTGGTTAAATCACTAAGTTGCCCATGCTGGGCTTGAGTTTTTTATCCTCCTGCCTCAGCCCCGAAGAGTGCTGGGACTACAGGTGAGTGGCTGCCCACATCCCTGAGCCACAGTCACCCAGTCGAGGAGTCACCACTGAGTCCCCCGCCCATTGTCAGGGGCCAGTAGCTCCCCAGCCACACTCAAGGTTTCCCTTTGGGCTTTCAGTCACCGCCATCCACAGCCGTCTGAAAATGCTAAGAGAAAAACTCCAGAAATAAGCAATCCTGAGTTGTCAATAAGGCATGTGGGGTCGCTTGATGAAATCTTGAGCCAAGGCATCCGTCTGCACCCTGAGCACTTGGTAGTCTCCAGTCTCAGTGTCTGTTCCACAGAGCCTTCTTTACATACTGATGGGCCCAATGCCCCTGGAGGAACTGGGAAGGGCAGATGAGCTCTGGCCCTGGATAGCCAGGTGGCTGCACGAGGAGGACAAACATGGCGCAGGGGACGCAGTCTCTTCAGATAAGGGAGGTAGTGGTTAGAAGCCAGCGGTGTCTGAGGATGGTTTGCCTCTTGCTGCGTCTGCAGAGCATGCTAGGAGCCATGTTCATGTTCCAGCCCCACGCAGTGTGGACGATCTGGTTGCAGATAGTCAGGCCGCCATCAGGGCTGCCGCACAAACCTCGGAGCGGAGCCAGCCAGAGCCCAGCCCAGAGCTGGCTTCCGCCTCCCGCAGTGGCTGGCAGCACCGCTGGGCCGGGACTTCCTCACTGGGCACCTTCACCCAGAATACACAGCACAGCGGTGGCTCAGCTGCCAGCCGCCTCTGCTCGGCCCTGGGAGTGCCTGCCCTGCGTCTGTACCCACCCGGAGGCTCCCTTGCTCCTGCCCAGCCTCCGGAGAGCTCAGCTTCTGCCCCGGGCAGCCTGGAAACCAGCAGCCTGGTCCCTTCTCAGCCTGGGTGGTGGAGGGTAGAGGAAGGAGCAGGGCTGGGCCCGCTTCCCAGAAGGAGTTTGTCCCTGTGAGCCAGAGCCTGTGTGTGGTGGCACACCTCTCATCCCAGCACTCCAGGAGGATTTCCAGCTGGAGCCCAGCCTGGGCAACTTAGCAAGACTGTATCAGAATGAAAAGTAGAAAAGGGGCGGGGGATATGGCTCGGTGTGAAGGCCCTGGGTTTAAGCCCCACTACCACCAAAAGACAAAACAAAAACTCCCTGAGCCAGAGGCTGGGGACTCTGCTGCCAGGGACAGGGCAGGTGGCTGCTGAGCCTAACACGCCTGCACGGTGACGTCTCACTCACTGAATGTCCTGGGTCTCCAGAATTCTTTCCGAGACTCACCATCAGCACCCCAGCACTTCCCTCTGCACCCCTATCTTTAGGCCCCCAAACATTGGAGCCTAAATGAGGCAGGGGCCTCTGCTCCTGCACGCAGCGCTGTGCCAGTGCTGTGCTGGATGTTTGAGACAGAGTCTCCCTATGTAGCCCAGGCTGGGCTGGAACTTGTGATCCTCCTGCCTCAGCCTCCCAGAGTGCTGGAATATTTGTGTTTTCAACGAGGGCACAGAGTCCGAGAGGTGGGGTAATTTACTCTAAGTCATGAAAGCTGCTAAGAGCTGGTAGTGTGGAGCTGGGATGGAGCCTTGGGATTGGACTTCCCAGCAGAGCTAATCGCGGCCGCTGGGCTCCCTGCCCTCGGGGAGCAGGGCAGATACTGAGGGACAGCCCTCCCCGGTCTGTGTCCGCAGCCAGACCCACCCCATGGAGGAGTCCCAGGAGCCGTGCCTGTACTCCCGGGAGTCCCGGAAGTTCTTCTGCCAGTTTCCAGTTCCGGAGGGGGACACCTCTATCCGTATGGTGTCGGTGTGCGTGGCCAACAGTGCAGGGAGCAGCGTCAGCAGCAAGGAGACGGTGCAGGTCCACAAGATCTGTGAGTGCGACGGCTTCCACGTGGTGTCCCTCGAGGGCCGGGCGGGCGGCCGAGGAGCTGGGGCCGGCTGGGTCCGCCTGCTCGAGGGGCTGCGCTGGGGTGGAGCCGCCTCCCGCGCCCTGAGGAGCCCGCTCCGCCCCCCAGTGAAGCCCGACCCGCCTGTCGGCGTCACCGTCGCCGCTGTGGCCGGACATCCCCGGTGGCTCAACGTCACCTGGAAGGACCCCAGCTCCTGGGACTCAGACTTCTACCGGCTGCACTTTGAGCTCCGATACCGGGCCGAGCAGTCCGGGGCCTTCACAAGCTGGAGGGTGAGTGCGTCTCCTGGGTCGGGGAGCCCCTCGGGGTGCGCGGTCTTCTCGGGGTGTGGGGCCTGGGCGGCTCCTCTGCGGGCCGCGGCGCCGGGCCGGCCTCCTCTCACGGGTGAGGGGCGGGGCCTCGCGGGCGGCCGGCGACCCCCAGCCCCGAGCCTCCTCGTCCTCAGATCCAGACCCAGGACCCCACGCACCAGTGCATCATCCCCGACGCCCTGCGTGGCCACTGGCACGTAGTGCAGCTCCGGGCCCGGGAGGAGTTCGGGATCGGCTCCTGGAGCGAGTGGAGCCCCGAGGCCAGAGGGGCCCCCTGGACAGGTACTTGGGTGGTGCGGAGGGAGCCCGGGCAGCCTGGGGTTACGGGACAGTCGCCCCAGCAGCAGGCACGGACCGCTGGAGCTCCCCGAAGTCAGTCAGGGAGGGCTGGGCTGTGGGCCTCGCTCATGCGCGGCCTGTGCGTCTGCTGGGCCAGAAGGGGCCTCAGGAGGGGCGGGGCCTCAGGGGGCGGGGCCTCGAGGTCTCTGCATCGTCGTCTTCTGCAGCCACCGGATGCCTAGCTCTGACAGGCGACAAAGACGCTTACCACTGCGTGGGGGATTGATAAAGTTAATGTGTTTGTGATAAAACAAATTCCAGAAAAATACGAAGAAGTAGTTATTGTCACCAGTATTTTTACCACCTACGGAAAGCCAGTGGGAACATTTTAGTATACTTCTTTTTCTCTAGGTACATTTCTATGTATTATATTGTAAGCATTCTCCATGTTATCAGATTTTTTTGGAAATGTATTATTTAGCAACTGCATGAGTAAATTATTTTTAACCCTTAGGAATTTTTTTTTTAATAACTGATTTGTGTGTGTGTAACTGAAAGTTGAACCCAGGGCCTTTGCAGTCAGCTACATTCCCAGCCTTTTTTTAATTGTTCATTTTGAGACAGGGTCTCACCTAATCGGTAAGTTGCCGAGGCTGGGTTTGAACCTGTGATCCTCCAGCTTCAGCCTCCTGCAGTGCTGGGATTATAGATGTGTCCCCACTACCCCACCGAGCTGACTTTAAAAATGTTTGCCAAATCACTGTGCACCCATGCTAAGAGGGGCAGGAGGACGTGTGCTGCCCCAGCCTTCCCGTTTCCCGCCTGCTCCATTCTTTCTGTTCTCCACTGGGTCTTCCTCATGGCAAACCTGCGCGGTAGCCTTTTCTTTTTCTCCTGATAAATCTGCTTGAGACAGTGTCTCCTACACTCTGCTATGAAGGATCAGGGCTTAGCAGACTGGGATTCAGGAAGCTCCCTGACACCCCCAGATGGCTTCCTAGCCCCTCCTTGAAGCCTCTAGAGTCACAGACCCCTCCCCTCCCCAGAGCCACGGTGGGTTCCTGGCATTCATTTGCACCTGCCTCACTTTGCGCTTGAATGTCTCCAGCCCTGCCTCAGAGTTGAACTAAATCAGTCTTTAATACTTGGCAGTTAAAAAGAGTAAGGCTGTATTCCCTGGCCGCATGCATGTCTGTAAAAAGGAGAGGAGAGAGGCTGCCAGCTGCTGGCCCCAGGCCTGTCCTCCACTTTCTCCAGCCCGGGCCCCAGGAGGACACAGGCTTGGTGTGAGGCTGCACTTGCCCGTGTTGTGCTAGAGCCCCAAGGCCCTGTGCGCTGCAGTGTAGGCTCCTTGTCTCCTTCCCTGGGGAGAGCCTGGGGCGGGGTGGGGCCAGGCTCAGGGCTCCAAGGCTGTCCCTTTCTTAGAAGCTCACTTCCTGCCACCACCTGGACAGGAAGGAGGGCCTGACTACAGGTAGCTGTTACCCACTGTGGCTGTCTTTGAGTTGCATACACTGCTCCTCTGAGCTGAGCGTCAGCGCAGCCTTTGCAAGGGATGTAAGCTGGTCAGAGCCTTTGCTGAGGAACTGTTCCCACATGGGCCAGCACCTGCTTTCCCCTACATCCTGATCCCTTAGTTTAGGCAGCCACTAGCAGCCTTACAGAATCCCATTTTGTTAGAAAGTTCTTCCTTTTAAAAATGTTTAATTGCCGGGCATGGTGGTGCTCGCCTCTAATCCCAGTATTTGGGAGGCTGAGGCAGGAGGATCACAGCAAGTTCCGGGCCAGCCTGGGCTGCTTAGTGAGTTCAAGGCCGGCCTGTCTCAACCCCTCCCCCATTTAAAAAGATTGTGGTAAAATGCATATAACATAAAATTCACTATTTTCACATTTTTTGTGATACAGTTCTGTCATTAAGTACTGTACATTCACATTGCTGCTTGGCACCGCCTGTCCATCTGCAGGACTTTATGTCTTGTGAAGCGGAAACTGCGTTCTTTAAATAGCAGTTCCCCTTCACGCATCCCTGCCCGGGGACCCCCTCGCCTCTGCCTCTGTGTGCGTGATCTAGGGTGCTGCAGGTGTCTGGCTTAGTCCGGTTACGTCTGCCTTCAAGGCTCATTTGCGCCTGGTATTTGTCAACTTCCTCCCTTTTAAAGGTTGGTGAATATTCTGTTGTATGAAAGAACTGTTTCATTTACCCATTCCTGTCAGCGGAAACCTGGATTGCTTCCGCCTTTCGATATTATAAAGACGCTGCTATGGACATGGGTGTACAAATACATATCTGAGTCCTTGCTTTCGGTTCTTTTGTTTATATGCCAGAAGTGGAGTTGGTCCATCACATACTTCTATTTTTAATTTTTTGAGGAACTGCTATACTGTTTTTCACAGTGGCTGCACTTTTCTTTGGCGTTGAACTCGGAGCCTTTGCACTGAGCCACAACCCCAGCTATTGCTATTTTTTATTTTGAAACAGGATCTCACTAAGCTGGTAAGTTGCCCAGGCTGGGCTAGAAGTTGTGGTCCTCCTGCCTCAGCCTTCTGGAGTGCTAGGATTACAGGAGCGTGCCACCATGCCTTGCTGGCACACCTTTCCCAGAGCTCATAGTTTCCACATCCTCCATATCCTCACCAATGCTTAGCTGTTTTCCTTTGCTCCTCCCTTCCCTTCCACCCTCCCATCGCTTCCCTTTCTCCTCTCGTCCTCTCCCCGCTCCTCTCTCCCCTCCTCACCTTCTCCTAGGACCTCACGCACGCCACGCGCTGCCTAGGCTGGCACTGCTCCTGGGCTGGGCTGGGCTGGGCTGGGCTGCCCTCCTGCCTCCTGAGTAGCTGGGGCTGCAGGCCTGCACCACCACTCCTGGGGTCCTTTTATTTTTTATTTTGAGACAGAATCTCCCTCAGCTGCCCAGCCTGGGCCCCAGCAGGCAGGCAGGCGCCTCCGCACTCAGCTCATACAGTCCCATGACGTTTGTGTCTGGAAGTGCAAATCGTTCGGAAGCGGTGTAAAGAATTCCTTTGGCCCCCACCCAGGCCGACTTTCGCTGCCTCTCTCTCGGCTCTGAGGCTCTGACTTGTCTCACCGCGGCTCGGCTTGCACTTCCCCGGCGACTGGGGATGCAGGACTCCTTCTCCCCTGCTCACTGACCAGGGGTCTTTGGAGAACTGTCTGTTCCGCTTGAAGGCCCTCTTCTGTGAGCCCCACTTTCCTCAGCCGAGCTGCGGTCCTCTGGGTGACCCCTGCCAAGCTCCGCAGCTGCGGTGAGCTCCCACCCTGCAGTCTGGGCTGCCCAGGCGCCTGCCTCTGCCTGGGCTCCTCCCTGCCTGGCCACCTGACCCCGAATCTGGTCTCACTTGTGGGTGTCCCTCTGAGAAGGGAGGCCTCATGGATCTAGGTTAGAAAGGGGGTGTCCTGGAATAAGAGGGAGGTGCGTGTGCTGCTGCCTGTGCAGCAGCCTGGCCATCAAGGGCGTTGGTGTTTCAGATCTTGCATCAGGGGCTGCCTGACCCTGAGGACCTTCCTCTCTCAAAGCCACACTGGGGACACCCCTCTAGCCTTTGCAGGGTAGTGACCTCTGGAGAACCCGGGGAGTCACCCTGCACTGAGAATCGGAGTGGAATGTGTCTTAGTTACTCTTTCCTGTTGTTGAGACAAAATACCCAACACCCAAAGTTAAAGGAGGGAAAGTTTACTTCAGCTCACTGTGTAGCGGGTTCAGTCCATGGTCAGCTGGGTCCCAGGCAGGGTGGCTGGCAGAGGAGAAACAATCCATGGCAGGCAGAAGGTGGCAGCAGCAGCAAGTGACAAATGGTAAGCAATGACCACAGCAGCCTCTTTCCGCCCCTTGTACTCTGTCCAGGCCACACGCCCTTAGGGCAGGCAGCTATCAGTCCCCCTCAGTCCCCATTATCCACTCTCAGAACTGTGCCAAAGCAATCAGTAGACTAATTTAGTAATCACACACCCTTGTTCCCAGTGTCACAAGCTCTCGATCCAGCCAGCTCTGAAAAGCTCCACCTCTGACCTCATGAGGCTTTGGGGGCACATCTAGATAGAGCCATAACGGATGCGATTGGCAAAGTTAATTCACCTCTCAGAGCCTCAGTCTTGTCATCTGCAGAATGGAGATGGGAGGATCTGTCTTGTACCCTCTGGGAAGTTTTACTAAGTCCAGTGAAAAACTGTTCTCTGTCCCTCCCTCCCTCCCTCTATTCTGGTGGTACTAGGGACTGAACCCAGGCCCTTTGCATTGAGCTACATCCCCAGCCCTATTTGTTTTTATTTGGTACAGTCACTGTGTTGCCCAGGCTGGGCTCACCCTTGTGATCCTCCTGTCTCAGCCTCCCAGAGGGATGGGATCCCAGGCCTGTCTCACCAGGCCTGACAAAAACGCTTCCTCAGAGCTGAAGTGCACTGTGAAGTTGGTGTACACTGCAGTGTTGGTTTGGGGATGAAGGGAGGCCAGATCTCAGAACCACGGTCCTGCCTGCGTCCTGGACCCACAGGCTGGCGTCTGGAGGGGTGGGCAGAGCAGGTAGCCTGGGAGAGCTTCCGGTGAGGTCAGGTGCGCTGGCCCAGGTGCCCCACTCTGCACACCACAGAGCAGCAGGACTGAAGCAGAGCTTCGGCAGGCTCGGAGGCCTGGGTGGGGCCAGTGCAGGTGGCCTGGGGAGCCCTCAGAGGGGTTGCGGGGCACCTGGACTTGGGCTGTGACCTGTGGGCACACTGCCCGGGGAAGCCAGCACCAGCCTCTGCGCGAAGCCTGGGCCCCAGAGTCGCGGCCCTGAGCCCCTGCTTCAGCCCGCAGGGCCTGGCTGCCAGCCCCTGGCAGGCGTTTGTGGAGATGGTGCCTGGGGTTGGGGCGGGCAGACAGGCTGGTGCCCTGATTGTGGGCCCTCAGTTTACCCTCTGCTGGCAGCACCCACGTGGAGCCTGGGCCCTAGAGCCACTGTCCAAGGGATCCCAGGGCAAAGCACCTAGGAGCCCACTGGGTGGAAGAGGATTTTATTCTCCTCAAACTTCCTGGAGCTCCTTTTCAACCCCCAGAGTGGGAGTCACACACAGGGCCTTGAGAAGGGGGTAAGGTGGGTTTACAAAACACCTGGGGTGCCCCTGAGGCCAGGGCTGGGGGCCCCTGAAAACAAGACCTAATTGGAAAATAAGCCCTAGTGCTCGCTCAAGGCAGCGCTGTTGCTGGACACGAGAGACTGGAAATGGTCACAAGGCATTCAGGCCGGAACTTGGGGTTTGGACTTACGATGGTGTTCCTGAAGATGACATGACTGTCGTTTGAATCAATGTAAATTTTTGTACAAGAAAAAAATTAGACATCCCCTGAAAACAAGGCCTATTGCGTCTTTTTGAGCAAAAATTAATATAAACTCAGTCTTATTTTCAGGGAAATACTGTGTTTTATACCGGTGCAAGAGTTGCCCATCCCACCAGGCCCAGGCAAAATGGTCTGAATCAGGCGTTTTCAGAGCCCTCCAGGGAATCTTTTTTTAGAAAACACCCTTACTCAAGACTTCATTCTGCCTACCCTAGAAACACTTTATTCATCCTGAACATTCTGGGCTACTAGAAATAACCCCCAAACAGTGCCCACACCTGGAGTCCTGCCCGGCAGAGAGCTGCGTCGGGGTCTCCCTTTCCCCAGAACCTCTCCAGCTTTGGGGTGCGTTAACAAACTGGTGCCTGGATCTCTTAGGGGTTCTGAGGCTGCAGGTCCGGGTGGGGCCTCCAGGCTCAGCCGCTGTGGTGGCTCTGGTCTGCTGAGCTTTCCGCCCCTTCTGGTCCATTTCATTCCACACCCTCCTGCGCGTTCATCTTCGTCTCCCCCACGTGAGTCTAATTGTCCGTGGCTGGGTTGGGAGGAAGAGGAAGGCGAGATGGGCCCTCCTGTGAGTTCTAGGCCTAGCTGGCGGCTTCTCCCTGCTGCGCCCCTTCCTGTGTGTGGCGGGTGTGGCCCCTCCTGGGCCCTGGGGTCCCTGCCGCCTCCCCTCCTCAGTCCTTGTTCTACTCATTTGGAGGGTTGTCCTCTTTTGCACCCGGTTCCTGTGCTGTTGTAAACTTCTTCAAGGAAAAGCGTGCAGGAGTCCGGGCACTGCTGAGGGCTGTCACACCGGGCACCTGGTCCCACAGGCCACGCTGGCCACAGGCCTGGCTTCGGTCAGGACTCTGGCTGTGAGCCTGGCCGCCTTGTGCCTCAGCGATTTCCACAGAAGCGCTGTTCCCACAGAGGGGTGTGGCCCGGGGCCTGGGCGCCTCCCGCTGCCGCCGGCTGTGTGGAGCTGTCGGGACAGATGAGGGTTGATTGCTTCTGTTGCTATCTTGATTGCAGAAAGCTGATGGAAGGAAATTAAAATGTCAACAGTGCTTCTATCTGGTGATGTGCATCCTTCCATTTTTCCCCTCCCGTGTTTGAACGTTTGCTAGATAATGTAATATACCAGATAATAATAGGGATGTGTTTTTTTAGAAACTTTGAACCAAGCTATATGAATTTTTGTCTTGTAGTTTTCATATATTATATTATGTCTTTAACAGTTTTCTAAAATACACATTTGGGCCGGGTTTCGTAGTGCACATCTGTAATCCCAGCATAGGGGAGGCTGAGGCAGGCGATTGCTGTGCAATCAGGATCACTCTGGGCTACATAGTGACGCTGTCTCAGAAACCACATGCACATTTTGAAGTTTTATTTCTGATTGACACATAGTAATTGAGCATATTGATGGGCTACATTGTGATGTTTTGATATATGTATGTGTTGTATAATGCTTATAAAATTGTTAAGGACTATTGCATTATGTCGCTGTGTCATAATTTGTATAACTAGTGTCCTAGGTCAGATATTTGGTTATTTCCAGTGGTTTCTTTTTTTTTTTTTTCTTTTGAGACAGGGTCTCACTATGTAGCCCAGGCTGGCATTGAATTCACTGGAATCCTCCTGCCTCAGCTTTCCCAGTGCTGGGGTTACAGGCGTGCGCCCCCACACCAGGCTCTGTTTTTTGTTCTTTGAGGTGGTGTCTTGCCTGTTGTCCAGGCTGTCCTTGAACTCCTGGGCTCAAGGGATCCTCTTGGATCAGCCTCCTGCGTAGCTGGGCCCTTGCTGGGCCGCCACGCCCTTTGAAATACTGCTGCAGTGATGTTTATTGTACTGGTGGGGCCCATCTGGCAGGACTGAGGGTCTTCGGGACGCTCACAACAGCTCTTCCTTCTCTCTGCAGCACCCAGGGCTTCCCCAGCTACGCCCCACAGCACGAAGGTGAGCATGGTGGGCAGGATGCGCAGCACGATGGAGTTAGAAGTTGGGCTGACACTGGACAGGAAGTGGTTCCATCCCACCTCACCTTGGGCTAGAAGCACGGTAGGGCGAGTGCCCTGTCCCTGCCAGCCTCCGTGAGGGGTGGAGTGGGTCCCGGTCCCCGGGCTGAGCAAGGCAGGTGTGCTGCCTGGCACTCAGAGCTACTTGGGTCTGGTGGCTGTGGTTTCATCTCTGAGCCTTTGGACACTGCTAGCAGCTCAGCATGAGACTCGACTCAGTTTGTTCAAATCCTCCCCTGTGGACCCTGGTATCATAATTGGCTGCAAAGAGGATTAGTGGAGCCACTTAAACTCCCGGGGTAATCCAAGCTGTCTCCCCCGTGGTCCTGCTTCCCTGTGCCCTAAGCCCTAAGCCGGGGGTTCAGCCAGAGGCAGAGTGGCAGCCCGGGGAGGGAGCAGGGTGCAGGGGTCCTGGTGCCTTCCGCCGCCCGCTGGGGCTGACGAGCTCTGGGCCATGTGCGCCCTGGGCCCTGTGCGCCGTGTCACTCAGCCCTCACGGTGACCGAGCGAAGCAGAGCCGAGGCTGTGTGGGCTGAGGAGACCGCAGTGACCCCAGCCGTGAGCAGAGGAGCCGGGTTCTGGTCCCCGCCATCCCCGAGGCAGTGGTGCTGCCCCCAACAGACAGCTGTTGCATGTGTTGGGGCCTCTCGGGCAGGGCCTGGGCCTGGCAGCTTTTGGTAAAGAGGCAGATGGGAAGAGGCCTCTGCCCCAAGCTAAGCGAGGACTCAGGTGGCACAAATAACAGAGAAGCTCGAGGTGACAAAGGTCAGGGCCTCGGGGGCCGGGAGGGCTTGGGGCAGGGTGATGCGTGGGTCCACAGACATGGCCATGGGGGTCACATCTCTCTTAGGTGCTGACTACTGATGAAGAGGACCCAGGTTCCCCATTAGCAACCAGCCTCCCAGGTAAGGACTGGTGCTTTTGTATTCTTCTGGTGTGCAAAAGATTTCCTCTTATTTGGATAGTTGGCAGAGGATCTGTGACAGAAGTATAAATACACAAATTCTCCCTGAGTCACTAAGTTGCAGGGGCCGGCAGATCTTTTCTAACTGCCTGAACAACCCTTAAAGCACGAAGGCAAGCCCTCCCTGGCTCAACAGACAGCATCTCGGTGGGGTTTCTAACAGAGGCACCGCTGACAGCAGTGCCTGCTGGGTAGAAACGCCTGGATCCTGGGCCCATACAACCGCGCGCGTGCGTGTGTGTGTGTGTGTGTGTGTGTGTGAGAGTGAGTGTGTGAGTGTGAGTGTGTGAGAGAGTGGGTGAGTGAGTGAGTGAGTGGGTGAGTGTCACTAGGGATTGAACAGAGGGCTTTTGCGCTGAGCTACTTCCCAGCCCTCTTTGACACAGGGTCTTGCTCGTTGCCCAGGCTGGGCTTGAGCTTGCAGTCCTGCCTCAGCCTCCCAGAGTGCTGGGATTATTGGCCTGCTGCACCACACTCAGCCAGGGTTGGCTCCTTAGAGTTGGATTTGGCCAGAAAACCGGCCAGCTTGTTGAGTGGGCTGTTGGTTTAGCAGAGCTAGTTCCTCTTCCCGTGGGCTTTGGACAGCACCATCTAAGTGCTTTTCTTTTCCTCCCCCTCTTTCTTCTCTTTTTCCTCCTCCTCCTTTTTCTTTCTTTCCTTCTTTTTCGTTTGTTTCCAGTGCAAGTTTCCTTCCCCGCACCGCTCCCCGCATTCCTGGTGGCTGGAGGGAGCCTGGCCTTTGGGTCTCTCCTCTGCATCGGCCTCGTCCTAAGGTGAGCTGGGTCCTGGGTGGAGCTCAGCATTGTTCTCTTATTTCCTAACTAGTTTTCCTTTGCCAATTTGGTCATCAAAATTTTACAGAGCATCAGGTTATGCATTTATTTGTTCTAGAAATGAACACACACAGGGCACACATGGCACGCGCTCTTCTGCTGAGCCTGATGCAGAGTCACAGGAGATGGGGTGGACAGGACAGACACTCTATGAGGGAGTGCTCGCCGAGAGGTGGTCACTGGTGTGGTGAGGGCTGCTGCAGGAGCAGTCTGTGGTGAGGAGATCCAGTCAGCACCAAAGAGGAAGAGGAGCTGGTCTGGGGGGGAGGAGAAGGGACAGGGTCCAGGGAGGGCGAGGACAGTGGAGGGGGAGAGCCTCAGCTCTTGGCTCCCTGGGTCCTCACAGTGGCCTAGACCTGGCTTGGCCTCAGTAGTGTTGCTGGACCGCATCCCACGGTGATGAAGAATGCGACCCAGATGGAGGAGGGCAGGGCGCAAGTGAGCTTGTTCAAGAGCTAAGAGATACAAAGGCAAGGAAGGAAGTAAAAATGTAACAGCACGAAGTAAAGCCCCCACTAGCCAGGAGGGGCTCTGAGCAGAATACCCGTGAGGGATTTTAAGGGCTCAGGGGAGTTCGGGCCGCCGTGTAAGCCTCACCATCTCCACCCGACAGGAGACTGTGTGTGATTTTTAGGGTCCAGTCTACGCAGTGTTTGCACGGTATCAATGCAGGGCCCATGTGCCCTTGAGCCCACGGCCGCCTGGCCATGCAGGGCAGGTCCTAGACACTGCCGGCCGCCTGGCACATGCCTGGTGAGGCCCTGCACGGTGCCACCCCCGACTCCGCAGTGGGCCCCTCCTTGCTACTCCTGGAATCCCAACTCCGGCCTCACTGACCCTGTGACCCACCACGAAGACGACCAGCTGTGCTGAGGTGGCTCTAGCTGTGCCTCTGCACCCCCGCCTGGCCATCCCTTTCCGGTGCTGGGGATTGAGCCCAGGCCCCACATGGGCATGCTAGGACGCTGAGCCACACCCTCAGCGCGTGTGCAGCAGGTTAGGCTCTGCGCAAGTGGAGGCAGCTCCAGGGAGGAAGCAGCCTTTTATAGCTTTGGGCCAGAGAGGAGCCCTGTCAGCATCCTCACACCTGAGCATTCTGCTTCTGTTTTTTCTTTATTTTGTTTTCTTATAGCACTGGAGACTGAACCCTGGGTCTTCGCACTGAGCTACGTGCTCAACCCTTTAAATTTCTTTTTTTAAATTCCGAGACAGGGTCTCAAATCATTAGAGTGCCCAGGCTGGGCTTGAACTTGCAGTCCTCATGCCTCAGCCTCAGAGTCCCAGGGCTGCGGACTGGTGCCGACACACCTGGGTTCTGGATTATTTCTTCCACAGGCTTTATAATCCACCGGAGGTCTAGAGAAGTGGATACTATGATTTCCACTTTGCAGCTGGTGAGGGGAAGGTCGAGATTCAAACCCAAAGCTAGTGCTCTTTGAAAAGAGCCACAAGGCTCATCTAGTCAGACAGTTGAATTTACGGAAACAGCCCCAGATGTGACGTGACCAAGGCCAGGGGAGAACCAGCACGGAGCACTCGCTCCCAGGCCTTGCTTGCTGTTGGCCCAGAGCAGCCTGGCACCATCCTTCATGCTGCTGACTGTGGCCAGGACAGGGAGGCAGCAGCGGCCAGGCTGCTCTCCCGCCGCATGCTGGGCTGGTTGCTAAGCATCTGGAGCTCCTGCAGGCAGACAGGGCAGTGCCGGGACTGAGGACATCGGCAGTTCGCTTCCTAGGCTGCTGAGCTTCCCTGGCTTCCACATGAGGCTCATTTACCTGGAGAGGACTCATCGTTTCCAGTGACGGCTCCCCTGGTCCCAGAGGCCTCCTGTCGAGGAGAGTGTGCAAACCTAGGGACCTGTGGAGGCCTGGCAGTGGCAGGAGGCTGACCCTCGGCGACTGCTGGCCCAGCGTGTGCACCTGGCAGCCCACGGTCCTGCATTTTTGCTTTCAGTACATGTATTCTGCATCCCAAGTGGAGCATTTCCCTGAATGTTTTTCCAGCAATATCAGAAGTAATGTTTAATTTTAAATCTGTGCCATCTTCTCAAGTGGAGACTGTGCCTCTCAGGGGCCAGTTCTTCCCCTGCCCTGGCCCCCACCAGGTCTGTATTTTGTGATACCCAGCACTGGGAAAGTGGATTCATTGTTTCTGCATTTGTCTAGAATGGACTTAGACTGCTGAGTGAGGACTTCCTGGGTGAAGGCCTGGGATGGAAAGCTCATCTTGTATTGGGTGGGGGGTCTCGATCCCACACACGGCCACATACTGTCCCTCTGGGGCATGGACGGAAGACCTGCATGGTGTCCTGGGCCACAGAAGTGGCAGGGGAGGGGGGAATTTTCTGTGGCCTTGGGGAACCTTTATTTCTGCATCTTTTTTTTTTTTTTGGTATTGGGGATGGAACTCAGGACCTTGCGCTTTCGAGGCAGGTGCGGTGCCACTGAGCTACATCCCCAGCCACATCTTATTTTTTAAAAAAGACTGAGAGTGTTTAAAAGACTAGCCACAGAACATTTTCTTCAAGCAAAACTTTGTAAAGCCTGAATTTGTAAAGTAGATCAAAGGTGAAAGTTGAGGTGTAAAGGAGCCCAGTGGCCTGGCTGCTTCTCCTTCCGCCTGCTGCCCGGCCTCTCCAGCCCACACACCCCGGCTGCCCCTTGGAGCTTAGTGATTTCACGCTGGGTTTCTTTCACTCCTCAGAGTATTTCAGAAGGAAAGCTACCTTTCTCAGTTACCATCCAGTTGCCTTGCCAAAAAACTGAGGGTAAAGATTGCTATCAGGAGGCCGGGGATTTAGCTCAGTGGTTCCACCACCTGCCTCGCAAGCCCAAGGTCCCAAGTTCGATCCCTGGTACAAAAAAAAAAAAAAGATTGCTACCGAGAGATATATATATATATATTTATATTTAGAAGTAATTTGTTAAATGCTGACAGAAAAGAAAAAAATCATATTAACCAAAGATGATTCCTGTAAATTTTTTAAATGTACATGCGATTAAAGTCTAACAAACATACAGAAAAGTATGTGCATAGTGAGTGTACAGCTGTAACCAGATGTGCTGTCACAGGTCTGTCATCCCAGTACTCTGGGAGGCTGAGGCAGGAGGGTGGTGAGCTTGGGATCACCCCAGGCAACTTAGCAGGACCCTGCATCACAGCAAGGCCAGGGTTGTATCTCAGTGCAAAGACCCTGGGTTCAATGCCCAGTACCTAATGATAATAATAATAATAATACTAAATGTATATAGCTCTATGAATTTCTACAAAATGGGTATACACACACGATTGATACACAAATCAAGAACTAAATATTTAGGTGAATTTCCTCGGAGTCTTTCCTCTGTATAGTTTATTGTTTGTTTTTATAAAGCTGTGGCTATTTGTGTCTATAATTTTGAAACCTACCTTTTAAATTAAGTAAGCATTTTTCTCATTATTACAAACTGCAAACTTAACTAGCTGCGACTCCTCTGTAAGAGATGTACCCAGGTTCACTTAGCCTGTCTCTTATGATTGGGCATTTAGTTGCTGTTTTGCTTTATAAACAACGCTGGGTTGAACATCTGTGTGCTACGCTTTGCCCACAGCTCTGCCTTCTTTAGGGTGGGGACCCCCGGCACTGGGTCTGAGGGGCTCACAGTGGCGTTCGAGAGCTGACCGCAGGCCTCTCGCGAGGACTCTGCTTAGCTGCAGCAATCGCCCCTGCAGGGTCTTCCTGCTTCTTGGCCAAGTGGCAGAGCCCTGAGTACATTCTGCAGATTGTTTATCCCGTCTGGATAGCGGGCTGAGAGCCAGCCATCAATTATTTATCATAACAAGGCCAGGAATAGCCTGCTGGTATAAAAAGAAGCCCAGGGAAAATGCCCGATGTTGTTTTTGACATCAGGCTTCCCTGCTTCCTGGCACCGCTGATGTGGGGGTTGAGGGTCCCCGCTTGGCTTTGGTCCGAGGTGGTGAGTCAGCGGCAGAGCGGGAAGCAGGGCCCCGGGAGATGGCCGATGCAGTCGCCGTCACCGCCCCCTCCGAGCTGTGAAGTGGCTTCTCTCTCGCACCCTGACGCTGCCCCAGCGTGGGGCCCCGCGAACCGCCCGTGATCAGAGAGATGTGTATCTCTTCCTCCTTCCGCCTCCCGGCAGGCGGCTGCCGGTGCCCAGGCTGAGGGCGAGAAGGACCTGGCGGCGGAGGCGCGCGAATCGGTGCGCACGGTTCCCATCCTCCCCCGCGTGGAGGATACTTTTTCTTTTTAAATAAAGGGATTTGCGGCGGGTGTTGGGTACCTACTGGGCAGCCTCAGGAGCAGGCCGAGTTGAGGGGCCGTGGTGACATTTTGGCGCTTCAGCCTCCCCACTGCTAAACCGGCCCGCGTTGCACGCGTACCTTCCGGGTGCTTTGACGCCCGGCTCCGAAGCCCTGCGGGTCCCCAGGCCGGGAGCACTGAGCCTGAGGAGCTGAGCTTCTCACGGGGACCTGACGCGCTTTGCTTTCTCGTGTGCGCCGCGCAGGTTCAAGAGGACGTGGAGAGCGCGGGCCGTCCAGGAGTGCAAACAGAGCGTGCCCCCCAAGCCCACCCTGGCGCTTGCTCCTCTGCTCAGCAGCCTCGGGTCTGACAACACCTCGAGCCAAAGCCGGCCAGATGCCAGGGACCCACGAGGCCCTTTCGACGTCAGCAACAGAGACTACTTCTTCCCCAGATAGCCTCCCGGGCCCACCCGGCGGCAGGGGTCAGACGCACGAACAGGGCTCGCGTCTTGCTGCCAACCCCCACTTCTCAGGGGCCGCTCTGACACCGGTCTGCGGCACCTGTCCAGAAGGAAGAGGTGCCTGAATTCTCAACCCTCCCTTCCTAACGCTCTGCTTCACCAGCTGAAAGGAACTCAGGCCAGTGCTCTGAGCCGAGCGGACGCTACGGGACACCACGCCCGCCACAGCCCCAGTGCTCATCGGTGGGCGAGCCGGGGTTTCCAGCCAAGCTGCCCGCGTGCGAGCTCCAACCCTGTACGGCGGTTCCTCCGAGCTCAGGCCCTGGAGGCCCGAGTGCCTTGGCCGTTCTGCTTTTTCTAGCCCTGCGAGGGCTTCACGTAAACCACTGGGGCTGGGGGGGACCTTCCTGCCTCTTCCCACACTTGAAAAAGAGCCTAGGGCGGGAGGGTGGGCTGTGGTGAATATCTCAGGGCCTGATAGTTTAAGTGGAATTTAATTAGCTCCTCATGAACTTTGCTTAGTGTGAAAGATGCATCGTCCCAGGCATCTGCTGACTCCAGAGTGGCTGCCCTGGCTGGCTTCAGCGGCCCCTCGGGTCTCAGGGCTTTGGAAGGAGGGGTCCCCATGGTCCCCTGTCACTGCTGAGGGACCGAAGCTCTGCAACCCATGTTCTCTGCCCGGCCCCCAAAGGGGGCCTGGCACTAGGAGGGCTGAGAGCAGAAGTTTTCACTGAGCTTTGTCCACTCTGGGTTCGGCCAGGCCTGAGGAACTGGGAAAGATCATGTTCATGGGAAAAAATGAAGCCGGCAAGAATGTACTTTAATTAGTTTTTTTTTTAAAATGCTATTTTCTCTTGAGACGTGGGAAGACCCGGTATTCTCTGGGTGTCAGTATATAAATAGCTTGGGGTTGGGGGAAGCACAATAACTGTTTTTAGCACAAAACCAAGTCAAGTGAGGAGGGAGGAGGAGCAAAATATTTTCCTCTACTAGAGAAGAGATTCTGGTTTCATTCTGTATTTTGTTTTTGCCTTACAAAGGGCCAAAATTGGCTGGAGCTCCTGGCTGTAGGGGAAGAGGGCCGCCCGAGGCGGCTCCACCTTGCCCAGGCCGGTGCCTCCCATGGTTCCGGGCGGGGCCCTGAAATTCCCCACCCCCAGAGCCGCAGACCCTCTTGTCAGAGGGGAACTTCGCCTCAGAAAATCCCTTACGTGGGGCCTTCCTCCTTTCACTTCGTTCTTGTGCTAGATTCAGTCCGGCTAGGACAGAGGTGCTGCAGGCGTGTGTCCGCCAGGCTGAGGGACACCTCAGCTGACACCTGTCCCGGCTGGGCGGGCGCAGGGGCGTCAGTGACCACCCAGGCCGGCGCCGTGGACAATCTGTGATTGACAGGAGTTGTGCAACCACAGATCCCAAGTTTACCAAACCACAAGGCTTTTCTAGTAGTTTACCCTTTTGGAAAAACATCACCACCACCAGACAGGTGTCGCAGGGTGGCGGCCACTGTGTCGTGTTTGCTGCTTGCCGCCTTCCAGTTGCTGCTGTCTTGAGCTGGTAGTGATTTTCACCCGGCTTTATCGTTGAGATCCTGAGGCACCCTAAGTTGACGGAAGTTGAGCGAGAGTCCATGGCCTCCCCCTCCCCGGGTGAAGTTTTTGGGACTCTAAACTGCTGTGAAAGGGAAATGTTAGAAAAGAGGGCCTTCGTGAGAAAAGATGATTCTGTGCCCACGGCTCTTTAATTCTCGTGCAAGGTTTTACCCACATGTAACTTTACCGACACCTGGCCGAGCCGCAGGAGGAAGATGTAAAATCTAGATAGCTCATTATCTCCGGAGCCAGGCAGCTTTGATCTCTAAATTGTTATTACTTTCATTATTACTGTAACGGAACTGCCTTTCTTTACGTGCTGAAGAGGTTTTTCCCCTTTGTTCTCATAAGCTAGTGTCAATGAAGGAAGCCTGTCTTCTCTGAGGCCAGGCTGGGCATCTGGGTCTGCAGTCTGGTGGCTGGGAGCTCCGTCCCCAGGCCCCCACCTTTCCTTCCTGGGTTTCTGCAGCCCACAGGCTGCCTCACACCTTGCACTGTGCTGTCGCTCACCTGACACCTGCAGCCATGGGCCACTGGGCCAGGTGGGACATGACAGGGCATGCAAGCAGGCCCTGAGCCACCTGTGGGCTGGGGGAAGTCGGAGCCCTGTGGGTCTGCACCACAGTGATGGTTAATTCTGGTAGCATTAATGAAATGTCCGAGGACGCACCTGTGGCTGTGCTGACTCAGAGCACAGTGCCTTGGGGCTTGTTTGCCGGGCCCTGGGCTCCCCGTTGTGCCATTCCCCTGTGGCTGGGGAGAAAGGGAACTGGGCAGCAGGGCGGGAGTGGAGTCTTCGGCTGGAACTGGTTAAGAGCGGGTGGCGGGCAGGCCGGGACTGGCTGGGGCGTATGGGTTCGCTGAGCGGCCCGGGATGTCTTGCCTGGCTGCTCCCGTGCCGGGCGGATGCTCTCAGTGCAGGTCTGAGCCTGCCTGCCCAGGAGGAGCCTGCTGAGCAGGAGCCCTTGGCCGGCTCCGGGTCTCCTGTGGAGGGGCAGGAGCACCTGCAGCCTGTCCCGTGCCGCAGTCCACGTGGGCCTGGCTGGGGCCTCAGGTCCTGGGCCCGGCGTCCTTAGCAGCCCGGAGTCCCCAGTGTGGCCAGGCCAGGAAGTTTCTATGACAACCTGAATGCTCACTAAGGGACACTCAGTTCTGGGAACGTCTGCTTGAACCAAGATCTTATTGGACAGTGATCACATTTGTTAAATACATACCTCAACTCTACATTGTTTTTTTGGAGAGAAATAAAACTTTTAAGCGTCCCCCCCAACTTGTATGAAAGCAAACATCAAAGTCTGTGCAGTCAGTGTGATGTTTTTTAAATGCTTTTTTTTTTACCAGCTATTTTGCATTTTAAATGAAAACTGTAAACATTTGAAATAAACAGTTCCTAAGAACGCACTTGAGCGACGCTGCTCGCTGCTCGGACACCTGGCGTCTGCCTGATTGGCCGGGAGGGGTGGGTGGAGGCGGATGAGGAGCTGCGGCCGCTGCGCTAGTCAGGGTCCTCGGAGCTCGAGCACCGGAAGGGGCAGGTGATGCGAGAAGGAAGCAGCCGTTCCTCCCAAGGCGCTTGGAAGGGGCCGTGCACGGCCCCCGCGTGCTGTCCCAGCCCAGACGGTGGGCGTGGGGAGGAAGAGGAAGGGCGTCACCGGCACGCAGGCCCCTGCCGAGCTGGCCAAGGTAGGTCGCGCCCTGGCCTGGCTGCTTTGTGGGAGTCGCTGTGCAAACCTCAGGGCAGGGAGGAGGGCAGGGAGGAGGGCAGGGAGGGGAGCGGGGAGGCTGAGGGCTGCGGAATTCAGACCGAAAGTGAGAGTCGGGGCTGCTACTTCTTGGCCCCAACCTGGGCACAGGAAAGCCAAGAGCCACTCCACCGAGGACACCGAATTCTGCCCCGGAAGTGGGCCCGGCCGAGCAGGAGGCGACAAGAGAGTCGGCTGTGCCCTGTGTGGCTGCCCTGAGTGGGCTCTGAGGGGCGCCGGGTGGGCATCGTGGCGGGCCAACTCGGTTACGGCGCTCTTTGCAGAGGAACGGAGGCCGCAGATGGTGATGGCCACAGAGGACGGAGGGAGCTCGGCTGGCTGCGGGAATCGTCTCTTTCTAGCGCCCTGCACCTTTGTCAGGAGCACGGGTGGAGCCGGAAACAGCATGGCCGACCTGGCGCGGTGGAAGTGTGCTGAGGCAAGGGCCTTAAGCTCTTCTGATGAGCCAGGCATGGTGGTGCCTGCAATCCCAGCACTCGGGAGGCTGAAGCAGGAGGATCGCCACTAGTTCGAGGCCAGCCTGGGCTACATAGTGAGACCCTGTCTCAAACAAACAAAAATGGCAAAGAGCAAAACAACACAACTGTTGTGATGGGGCATCACTACTGGGAGAGGCCCAGCCTGGGCTCAGAGCAACCCCGCAGGAGTCAGGCCCCGGGTGGGTTTTCAGTAAAATCACAAAGCGCTCACACTGTGGGTGTGTACCAGCCACTGAGCGCGTTCCCTCTAAGGAACTGCAGAATACTCACTCAAGCTGCCCCATGTCCTCGAGAAAATAGCTCACCCGGCCCTGGGAACCTGCGTTTGACATTTCCTTATACTTTTTTAAAGAGTAAAATTTATCAGGAAGGCAATTTTGTTCTCTCTTGGTTTTTAAATTCATATGTGGCTCAGCATCATATCTTTTTTGTTTGTGGTACGGGGGGTGTGTGTGTGTGTGGAAGCCAGGCTAGCGCTCCCCCTGTGAGCCGCACCCCAGCCCTTCAGTAACAGCTTTTAAACAACAAAGACACTGGGGACGGCCAACAGGTGGGGGAGACGAAGCAGTGGCAGAAGACAGTGCCTGCCACACATGCAGCGGGCACAGGGCCGTCCGACCCGCCCACCTGGGATCCGCCTAGCCACGCGGGGTCGCAGGGCCCCGAGGCTCCAGAAGGTTCCCTGGGATGGGGGAGCCCCGCAGTCTGAGCCAAGGTTTCCAGGCTGTTGGTGCTCGGCTTCCACTGTGGGCCTGTCGGGAGAGGGGGCCAGCCCGGCAGGCAGCTGGGAGGACATGGTCCATCCCTTCATGGCAGAGGTGACAAGTTCAGACTGGCTGCCAGGGCGGGTGTCCCTCAGCAGCAGAGCAGAGCCTGGCACACACGAAGCCCTGGTGCAGAAGAAATTGCAGTCAGGCCCAGCAGGCGCCCTGCAGACAGGCGTTCGCCTTCCTCCCAGGCCGCACGCCGAGCGCTGCAGAGCCCTGCATCCCCCAGGCCTGCAGCTGGCACCTCTGCCCGGCCTGGGCTCAGGCTGCTCCGGATGCCAAAGCTGCCCAGGGTCCAGGGGCCGCAGGCAGATAGGGCGCACAGGCCTCACCCCGTCCTCCCTGGCCACACGTCTCTCGTGTGCACTGGCCATGCTCCGGACAATGAGGCGTGCCTTGTGTTCTGTCTCTGCTTCCAAGGCAGAAACCTTAGGGCCCAGGCAGAGGGGCTGGGCTCACTCGCAGCTTTGCGGGCTTCTGTACATGCTCAGTGTGGCTGCCACCGTCGCCAGTTCTGCACACTCCTTCTTCTCTGCAGTGACCGTTTTTCATGGTATTATGTTTTTACAAAGAGAGACAACTTTTTTATTAAATAACCACAATCTATTTTGGGATAGTTCGGTCATATTGTACTACCCATGAAAAATGTGTATGGGGCAGGCACAGTGGTATGTGTACTTACAGCTACTTGGGAGGCAGAGACAGGAGGGCCCCGCAGGCCAGGATCAAGGCCAACCTGGGCAGCTCATCAGGACCTGGCCTCCTCAAGAAGACAAAAGAGGAAACACACAGCCGTGCAGGAGGTGGGGACTGCAGACAAAGCACTTAGAAATATGAGGCGGTTTGTTATATTAGCCTCTAATAAAGCTTGATGTTGTTTTTGTTTTGTTTTGGGGTTTTTTTTTGGCATCGGGGATCGAACTCGGGTCCTTCTGCTTGTGAGGCAGGTGGCAGAACCACTGAGCTAATTCCCCGGCCCTTGATGTTGTTTTAAAGTGCAAAGATTTTAGGGAAATGTTTCACTTTGCAAATGTGCCATTTAAAATAATCCAAAATGAGTATAAACATATCTCTCTTAACTACCTTTTTTAAAAAATTAATTTTATTGGAACATTTAGGTATACAATATAATGACATTCATCATT